GGAGCACAGGGAAGGCTGATCTGGAACAGAAAATAGACAGTTACAGAATAAATCTGGGATTTATGAAAGGATCTCCTCATGGATCCACCTTAGGCAGCACAAGAGCTAAAGAATAAATCAGGGATTTATTAAAGGATCTCCATGGATCCACCTTGGGCAGCACAAGAGCTAAAGAATAAATCAGGGATTTATTAAAGGATCTCCATGGATCCACCTCGGGCAGCACCAGAGCTAAAGAATAAATCAGGGATTTATTAAAGGATCTCCATGGATCCACCTCGGGCAGCACAAGAGCTAAAGAATAAATCAGGGATTTATTAAAGGATCTCCATGGATCCACCTTAGGCAGCACAAGAGCTAAAGAATAAATCAGGGATTTATTAAAGGATCTCCATGGATCCACCTCGGGCAGCACAAGGGCCCAGCCAGGGCTGCACCCAAGATGAACCAAAATGGGCCCAAAAAAATTAACTCTGACTTAGGACAGGACCTGACAAGATTTACAGCAGGAATACTATTCATAAAATCCTTGTGTGGGGTTGCTGTGTGCAGTTTGACTTTTAAAAATTAACTCTGATTTAGGACAGGACCTGACAAGAATTACAGCACAAGCACTATTCATAAAATCTTTGTGTGGGGTTGCTGTGTGCAGTTTGACTTTTAAAAATTAACTCTGATTTAGGACAAGATCTGACAAGATTTACAGCAAGAATACTATTAATAAAATCCTGTGTGTATTTGCTGTGTGCAGTTTGACTTTTAAAAATTAACTCTGATTTAGGACAGGACCTGACAAGATTTACAGCAGGAGCACTATTCATAAAATCCTGTGTGTGCATCACAGACAGGGAGGCACAAGGACCCAAATTCCCACCAAAAAAAGCCAAATATTCATCTACAGCCACACAGGCCTTGACTGGGGTACATGAGTGGGTTGCTTAAATAAAAAAAAAAATTAAAAAAAAACAGGAAAAAAAGAAAAAAAGAGGATTGTTTTCAGGTTCAGGGTTGGGCCCAGGTTTTCAGGATCACTTTGGGATTTTGAAGGCTCTGTTAATGCAGCAGGACGCTCCCAGGCTTTCCCTTTAGCATTCTGGGGTGGTAAAAACCCATCCCAGCACAGAGTGCTGAGAATTTTAAAATAATAAAGAAGCCAAGATGCCTCTTTATTAAAGCAGCGTGGACAGGCTTGCCCTGCAGGATCCCATCTGCTGTGCTCCTGCAGCACAACAAATAAATCACATGAGGGAGGGAAGGCTCAGGAGTCATCTCTGATTTTGGAACCCTCTAACCCCAAAGTCAGCAACACTGAAACAATTGAATGGGAATTTTGCCTTTTATTTTTTATTTTTATTTTTGCTTTTTTTTTTCCCTGAGGAAGGTGGGCAGAGTGCAGGGGGAAAACTTGATGTTTCGCAGTTTATGATGAGTTTCTGTTCTCTGCTATGCTCCTCCTCCACACAGCACTGGGTTTTAGGCACAGCCATCCCAGAATTCAGCCAATTTTCCACCTGACACTCAGCACAGGCTGGAAGACTGAGCCAGTTTTCCTAATTTTTCAGTGATGCTGAGCATCCTGCCCTAGATATTGTGTGGAGCAGTCACGGGAGGAAGAGGAGAAACCCCAAATCCCCCTCAAAGAGCAGAACTGTTGGCACAGGATCACGGTCTGTCCCTGCCTGCTCCTGCTACCCTTCATTCTTATTTTTGCTACATTTCCCAGCTGGTTTTCAGTGCTAAAAACAGCTGGGAAGGAATAAAGAGGAATCCCCCTTGGGCTTGGATTCTCTTAAGCTGTGGTTCTGTTTTCTTCAGAGGAGAAATAAAGCGTGGAACCGAATTTCCTCAAAGTTAATTCCCCAAGCTGGGATGTAGGTCACGTTGCTTTGTCTGAGGCTGAGCTGAGCTCTAAATAGAAATTGGTTTTTTCCCTGAAAAGTGGGAGCACGCTCATCCCTGCTGCTTTATCCAGGTCATTGCCTCCGAAGGTAACACCGGTGCCTCTTCCAGGCTCTGCTTTTAAGGAGAGGATTCTCCAAAACAAATTTTTTTCCCCTGTATTAAACATGCAAAACAGGACATGCACTTGGGGGAATTATTTTATATTTTATGATTTTGTATATTTTAGAATGTATACATGCATATATTTAATATATTTATTGTTTTATACAATATGTATTATTAATATAATTATTTTTATTATATACAAGATCATATTCTATATTCTATATTGTTGTCTATTATATATATTTATCTATTTATATATGTATATATATTATGATCTATTATATATGATTATTATACTATATATACACACTATTACTATATATATACTATATATACTATATTATATATATACTATATATATACACTATATATACACACTATATATACTATTATTATATATACTATATATAATATTATACTATTATAGTCTATATTTATATATTATATTTTTGTATTTTATATTTTATTTTTGTATATATTAAAATGTATTTATATATATATAGATATGTAGAGCTATATTTTATATATATAGATAGAGAGATAGAGATAGATAGATAGATAGATAGATAGATAGATAGATAGATAGATAGATATAGATACATAGATAGATAGATATTTAAAAAAAATATTTTATAGAGATATGTTATACCTGAAAACACATTTTGGGCAGCCTGTTTTCCCCTCAATCACCAATACATTTTTATCCCACCCATACATTTTGATCTCATGAAATATTCACCTTCCAAGAACATCACAAAAGCATCGAGTGGCCCCAGTTTTCCACGTGCCAGGTCTGGAAGGTGCAAAATATTAAGGAGATTTTTTTTGGGGGGGAAAAAAGGCAATTTTTTTTCCCCAAAAAAACCAAAAAAAGGGTAAATGCACATAGCCTGGTGACCCTGGAGTGGCTTCCATGGCTGCCCGGAGGTGCAGAAGGAAGCCCGTGAATATTGAATATTTCTATGGAACAGCGGCATCCAGCGGGCAGAGAACGATTCCTGCTGAAACCCTTGGAAAACCGGGATAGGAGCACGGAAAAACAGAGGTTTCTCCCCAATATTCAATGTTATTTTCCTTCAAATCCAAGCTGTGTTGTCGTTGCTGCATTTTGGGCTGGTGATATCTGATAAAGTAACGTTGCAAATAGTCAATTTTATTTTTAATTTCATTTTTAAAAGAGAGACTAGCTTGATTTTTTTCAAATTTTAAACAATTTATTTTAATTTTTGTTTTTAGAGAGATTAGCTTGAATTTTAATTATTTTCAACTTTAAACTATTTCATTTTTAATTTCTATTTTTTAAAGAGAGATCAGCTTGAATTTGAACTCTTTTCAATTTAAAAACATTTCGGTTTTAATTTTTATTTTTTAAAAGAGAGATTATCTTTAATTTATTTTTTTTTAAAGTTGTATAATATTTTGGTTTTATTTTTATTTTTTAAAGAGAAATTAGCTTGGAGAAAAAAAATCCCCAACCTGACATAACTCAGAGCCTGGATATGCAAGCTTAGAACAAGCACTGACAAAAGTAAGTGCTGAATTATCTCAGTATTTCTTGAGCGAGCCCAAAACTCTATGGAGGGATCTTCACAACTAGTGCTGACTGCACTCACCTGCATTCCTTTTTACATTTACACTAACGTAAATAATTTTTACATTTACATTAACATAAATTCATTTTTACACCTGCATTAACATAAATCTGCCTGGCAAGAACCGAGCTGAGGGAAGACCAGAGCACGCTCTGAGCCCATCCCAAACATTCCCTGGCACTCCCTTCTCACCCTCTGGCCAAAGGCCGATGGAAAACGCCGTGCCAGCACCAAGGCACATCAACCCCCTGGTTCCAAAATTCACATTTTTCCAGTTGGTGCGTTTAGCTGGCCCGGCCAACGCAGAGGACGAGGGACAGCGAGTCCTCCAGGCTGTACGGAGCGGCAGCAGCTGGTTTTTGGACAGGTCCTTTGCAGCCTGCAGCCCCAGAGCTCAGGCTCTGACGCTGCCGCAGCCATCGGCTCTCTGCGGCGCCCACAGCCGCTCCGCCCGGCCGCGGCGGGCGCTGCCCCGGGCTTTGCCGCATCCCCGGGCCGGGCCGAGCCGAGCCGGGCCGGGCCGAGCCGGGCCGAGCCGAGCCGAGCCGAGCCGGGCCGGGCCGGGCCGGGCTGAGCCGAGCCGGGCCGAGCCGAGCCGGGCTGAGCCGAGCCGGGCCGAGCCGGGCCGGGCCGAGCCGAGCCGAGCCGAGCCGAGCCGAGCCGGGCCAGGCCGAGCCGAGCCGGGCTGAGCCGGGCCGAGCCGGGCCGAGCCGAGCCGAGCCGGGCCGGGCCGGGCCGAGCCGGGCCGAGCCGAGCCGGGCCGGGCCGAGCCGAGCCGGGCCGAGCCGGGCCGGGCCGGGCTGAGCCGGGCCGAGCCGGGCTGAGCCGAGCCGAGCCGAGCCGGGCCGGGCCGGGCCGGGCGGGGCCGAGCCGAGCCGGGCCGAGCCGAGCCGGGCCGGGCGGGGCCGAGCCGAGCCGGGGCGAGCCGGGCCCGGGGCTGCCGTGAGCTCCCGTGGGCTCCCGTAGGCTGCTCGGGGCTCCCCTTGGGTTCCCCTTGGCTCCCCGTGGGCTGTCCGTGGGCTCCCCTTGGGCTCCCCTTGGCTCCCCGTGGGCTCCCGTGGGCTCCCCGTGGCTGCCCGGGGCTCCCGTGGGCTCCCGTGGGCTCCC